TTTGCCTTTTGTACATTCGTGCTTTTTTGAGGTCTTTTATTCAGTTACTGCAGTGATCTGTCTCTTCGTTTGTAGAATATGATGAACAGTACATAACATGGCTATGAGGGCAAAGACCCAACAGCATTATTCATACCAATATTATTGTTCATGGTAGCCCTGTAGCAGGAAATAAGAATTTTAAATGCTTCTTTTATTGTTGTTATTCTAATATGCGCATTGTCAGAAGCTGTTTAAAAATTTTGTAATGAGAATTCCTCAAGCCTCTCTTGCTTGCCCTGTGAAATGTTATTGTATCTCATTGGCTGAGTTAGAAACTTAGTAAAATATGTTTCCCTCCGTGGCCTGAGGAGGTTTTGTCACTGGGCCATGACAACTGCATTCAAAAACATTAGCGTTACTGTTGCCCTTGCTGCAGTACTAACAACCCTTAGACCAATAGAATAAATGAAGGATGGAGAAATCTCTTGGCTGGTTGACTCTATTCTGGGAACATTACAAAGAAAACAAGATTCATTTAAGTCTTAGAGCAGAGGTGGTAGTTTCCTCCAAATCAGTTTTCCAGACCTGGAATTTTTTCTCCATCTTCTGCTTATGGCAGGAGTTAACCTTATATCTTTTATATTCCTTTAGACCCTTGTAGTTAACCTTACTCTTTCCTCAGTAAGAGGATTGAATTGTCAGCCTTTAGGCAACCTCTTGCCACTCTTATTGGTAACTCATATGGGCTTATACTAACATCTTTAAATTTGTTTCATCTGCTTGTCTAAACCACAGCTAAAGTTACCTACTTACCTGGTTTAGTCAGAGTCAAGAGACATAAAGGAAACAGGGCAAAGAAATAATAAAAAGACCATACTTGCCAAACGGGAATGTCTTCCAAATAAGAACATGCATGTTTTGATTTTAATTTCAAAGCACTGGAGAGAGTGTCAAAGGTGCAAATAGTCCTGAACTTGAAATGTGTGCTTTGTTTCTTTTTGTAGTCATATAAACATTTGAGAACTAGGTTTTGTTTGAGTAGGACTTGCACATCTTTGCTTCCTGTGTCTTTGTTTTCTGACAGTGGACACCCCTGTCTTGCTGGGCCATCTTGCAGTGACCAGGTTGTGCCAAAGTGAGTGGCTGTCTAGACTGGGATTGCACATCTAAGAATATAGAAATTTAAATTAAAAAGTAAAGAGTGGAGATTGGTTCAATGAAATCAGGGAAATAATTAGAAAAACTTCCTCACAAAACCAGGAAATAACCTGTGTGTTATGTGGGCCTAAGAAAGAGAGACTGATGCGAATGACTTGTGATTTTTTTTCCCATAAATTAATGTTTTCAGTCAAAGCAACAAGAAATATTCATCATAACTTTTAAATTATTTGGGATGAGGGGTTGGTTTGTTTGTTTGTTTGTTTTTTTAGAAAAATCTCATTTTTTATATGCTAGGTGTGGTATAACAACATTTTAGACCAATATTATAAGCAAGCCATTTCTTTCCTCTAAGGAAAAATGTAATTCAAATACTAGAAAAAAGGACGCAGCATATAATGTGAATAAGAAAACAATCGGCATCGCTTGTTACTACTGGGATTTTTGTGAATATGTTTTTCTTAATGTAATTGTATGCATACAACTTGCTATACAACCTGACTTCAGCAACATCATGTAACTGCATGAAAAAATTCTAAAAGCATTACTTAGCTGCACAAAAATCCAGTGCATTAAAAGAGTTAGTTATCTTCAGCTTGGATACCACTGATACAAAATGCTTTAGATCTGAAGGGGCCTGTAAAGATCAGGAACATCTTTCAGAGGGTCAGGTTGCTCAAAGCTCCATCTAACCTGATTACTGCCTGTGAGGGGCACCGACAACTGAGCAATCTGTTCCAGTATCTCACCACCCTCATCACAAGTAGTTTCTTCCTTATGTCCAATCTAAATATATGCTCTTCTAGTTTAAAATGATTACCCTATGTCTGTAGCTATGGGCAATTATTGAGATACTTTGATTCTGGTATGTTCTCCCTAAAATGCTGTCATGTCCCTTGATCTCTCATTAACTTCATTTCTGACTTACAGTTTTAGGACAATGGAACTTTTTAGCATTTCTTAGGGGTACTTGCTTTAGTATCGGAATGAAACATAGAAATGAGTCTTTCAAATACCAGTCTAGTCACAAGCAAAACCACTGCAAGATTGGGTTACATAATGGAAGCTCTGAGATTTGTAATGCTGTTGTTGGCTTCTGTATGGAACTGCTGAAGTTCAGCTATTTGCCTGGATACAGAGGCTTTCCAGAGCTCTGTGAACTGAGTAACCCAAAATACATATCAGAAATTGAACTACCTGGCAAGCTCTAAAACATGGTACAGCAGGAACAGGGCTTGTCTTGTTTGTTCTCATATGAATCTTAAAAAAATATGGTAATACTGTCAGTGGGAACATATTAAAAGTGCACAAAGTTCACTCTCAGACTTTACACTGCTGTGAAAATGCGACAGCAGGATAATTTTACATTCAGCAATTGTAGGTCACTATAAGTGAAAGCAAAATTGTTATATATCATGCAGGTAAATTAGCTTTTCTTCAGCCTTTAGAATTCTCTCATCTTAGAATTAATACAGTAATGAAATTGAATTTTTTTTCATGGATGAATCTGAGAGTTATTTCAGTTTCAAACCGTGTGGGTTTGAAGTGTCTCTCTGACACTTCCGAGTCTTCCGAGTCATTGAGAAGGGTTTAGTGTTAACAGTACTCTTAGTTCTGAATTGATGACACTTCTTGCTGTTCTCTTTAGAATGAAAGCTAAGGTGTGCAAAGTTAACAGCAGGCTGTGGGTAACTTTAATTTGTGAGATACTTTGTAGCTATGCTGTAATGGAGGGTGAACTCTACAGTGGTTGCACGGTAAAGCATAAACAGCTTGTTTCACAGAATCTGTTGACTCCTCAGTACGAAATGCAGCAGTTGTTCTTTACTGCAGTATTTCAGTGTGGATTTGATTCTCTTCGTGCTTGGTTAAATCCAATTTCAAACTGTTTCCATCTAAGTTTATTTCTCTAAGTCATATTCTTCTTGTCTTATAAAAAGAAATTGTTTATGCATAGTTTTGAATAGAGCTTTACACTGAGAAATCCTGAGGTATTCCTGGTCATGTGATCTTCTAAGAACAAAGAGCAGCATCATGCCCTTCCTATGTGCTGCCTCCACGGTGGCCCTTCAGATGCTAATCACGTGCATCAGTCTCTTACTGACAGGTTTGATATCTAGCGTGTGTGCTGTCTTGTTTTGATTTTAAACTGGGAAATCGCTATTAAAAACTACTGCTAAATATCTAGCTTGCTAGAAGTCATGATTCTTATTTCATCCCATGTCTGTTGCATTTAGCTGAAGATTTTTAAGTGAAACATGAACCTAGCAAGCATAAGCTGAATCTTACCTGGTTTCTGTGAAACTACCATGGAATTAGTGACTCTAGGGTTCAGATTGACAGCTCTGAAGCAGCCAGTCATGCTGGACTGTGGTTTTCAGTGGTGGAGCCAGAAGTCTCCAAGCTCTGCAGATCCAGGTCTAATTGGAATGTGATTTCATACTGTTGAAAAGGGCATTTGGAGCCAAGAGGTTTTGAGATAGGCTTCTGTGTACTTAGGCTACAGGGTAGTCCCCTTTGGCCCAGAATCAGCTATTGTAGAGGTTCCTGAAGCTATTGAATGAACTTGTCATTCACATCCATTTTATTGCTGCTGTTAGACAGCAGTTAGGTTACTGGCACATTGCCCAAACATCTACAGCTTTTTGGGAGTAACTTGTTCAAGGAAGACTTTCATCTGATTTGGACCAGTCAGATATAGAAACTGAAACTTTACGAACTGCTCTGGAGCCAGCTCAGAGCCAGCTTTTAGAATTGATTTGTGTGTAGTGACTAAAAGTCATGAAAGTAAGGGGATAGTGACAAACAAAGTAACACTTTCAGGTGCTTGTTACTGTACTTGTTACTGTGGTCACAACCAGAATGTACAACAGGCTTTGTATCACAATCTTAACACTTTTTTGACTCCAAACTATGATGGTGTTTGTTGGCTGTGACTCTGACTCTTCTTGCTGTTGCAGCTTTTACTGAGCTATCTCCTACTCGTCGAACTATGAAGTAGTAAAACACTGGAAAGTGTTTGAAACTTTCACAACTAATGATGTTTAGGGAACTAGGTATGGAGAAGGAAAAGCATAGGTGGGAGAGAGGCACAGGAATAACTTATTAAAGTTCCAGTGCACAGTCTTGTGTAATAGGCCTGGTCATGCTTACAGGTACTATATTGATAATGGATTACAATGCAGAAGAGAGATCCTGGATTCGTGAATGTTACATAAAACTCTTGGTGCAATGTTCAGCAGCAGATGGAAAAGCCAGCAGAGGTATTGGGTGTCAATAGTGTTGTCTTATTCCTGCGTAAAACCCTGTTGAGCCCTTCTCTTGAGTACTGAGGACTACAGTCTCCGTATTTCAGGGAGTTGGTCTTACAGAAGGTAGTGTGAAGATTTTATTTTAATTTTTTTTAATCAAGACAGCAACTTTTCAAGAGGCATTTAGAAGACAGACTTGTCAATTTGGAGAGGTGAAGGTTGTAGGAGGATTTATGAGTGAAGCTTGCAAATTCATGCACGTAGTGAGTGCAGAACTGTTACCAAATCCTGCAGCCTTAGAACTGCGTAGCACTCAGCACTTAGAGGACAAGAAGTTCAGAAAAGTCTGAGGAAGATTTGGGGATGATGATGATTGTTATTTGCACAGAGTAATAAAATTCTGGAATTCTTTGCTGCAGGGTATTGGAGGAGCAGATAATTTCAGCAGGTTAAGAAAAGGAATTTGATGAATATGTCATCAACAGTTCTGTAAAGAGAATAGACAGGCGACTGCTCTCTGGTTTCCTCAATCACAAGGTTGTACATGCAGAGAGAATGAGAGGGATGTGCTACAAAGAGACACGTGTTCTTCCTGAGTATTGCTTTTTGTTGCCTCTGTTGCAAACAACACTGAGCTAAAATGACCCTTTTTCTGGCTAAGTAGGATGTTTATGTTCTTACATTAGTGCACATTGTGATCAGAGAATCTGTGAGAGATTATAACATATAGTTAGATTTAAACTGGTTGTTTTAAAATCACTGCTTCATTTTAGGAAGGCTTTGTATCTTTTTCAGTCATCAATCAAAAACAGACTTTAAAGGAGATAAGTGAGTTGAAGAAAAAAAGTTTAATCACGCTTCTGTGTAGACTGTGTCATTGTCATTGTTTTAATTTTTTTTTCCCAAGTTTTTTTAATAGAGACTGGTCATAGGTTTTCTTGCCTCTTTCTCTGACTGGAATTTTTTTTTCTTTTTTTTCCCCTCTTCCTCCAGCTCTCAAAACAGTTGCACTGGAAATAATGCATACTTTTTAAAACCAAAACTTCTTCAAAAAACCTGCATTTGACAGTAGACTCCAGGGAGTTCATAGAAGATTATCTTTATGGAAGCTTTATGCTGCAACCAAAGTTTGAGGGTGCAGAAGGAAAAAAAAAAAGGTGGAATATACTTCACAACTTTCTCATTGTTAATCTGTGGAAGAAACCTAATACCATGACAGTTGGGGATGTGAAGGTTAATACTTGCTACTTGACCTTCCCATGAATTAATAATGGAATTTTCATTCACTGGGAAGCTGACAAATGGAAGCAAAAGTGCAGATGCATAGAAAAGAAGGGAGTAAAACTACTTAAAGATAGAGAGATTTGATTATCCAGGTAAAATTAACATGAAGAATATTAAGACTGGAATCTTAACACAGGGAGAATTTAGACTTACTGCAGAGTTCATTAATATAACCTATAAAAATACCCTGACTGGGTTATGTAATGCAATTTTTCATTTCCATGTGACATCTTAGAGTTGCCATGAAACAGGTGCTGCAAGGCACATAAAAAGTGTATGGTTGCTTCTGAGGTGAAGGAAATGTTTCATCTAGATAGATTTTTAACATTCTGAGCCTTCCCATTTCTGAGTTTCATCAAGTATTGTATTTAAGATACACATGGCATTCAGTAGTCTTGATTTTTATCTTCACATATATTTCCAGTGCAATTTAATAGATAGAGCCCCAATTTTCAGATTCATGTGGTTATTTGATAGCAATTAATTGCACTTTTACTGTATTTATCAGGGAATAAAACTGAAGAAAAATAGCATGCCTAGGACTTTCTGCTTGTGACCTTTTAATTTCAACCTGATTAGATTAATTTGGTTGGGTGGAGATGGACAGGAGGACTAGTATGTTCTCCACCAGAAGGCTGTCTTGTGATGTAGAGCTTTTAGCAGTTTTGTGGGAACTGTGTGCACAGGAAAGCACGTGAGCAAGTATTGCTATTAAACAGTTGGATGTGCCCTGGAGAAGAGTAGAAAGAATTGAAAACGCCTTCTCTACTGTCTTAGAGGTGTTTTTCTTTCCTCGCCTCTACTGCATCTCCAGTAAAAATGAATTAAAACCCTTTTTACAAATCTGAAATCTTTCAGATCCTGATTTCTGTTGTTAACATACTGTGGGAGGAATACAGGTCAAATTTCAAACTGTCAACTCTAGCAATAGTTTGAGACGAGCTCAATAACTCTTCTGATAGATTTTTCTCTAAGAAACCATATTCCTGAGGAATTCTCTGTAGTGATTTTAGAAACCTCATTTTTAAGGGGCTCATGTAGGAGGTTTGCCAACATATTGCTGAGCTATGGAAAGGTCAGTTATACTCTGGTAGAATCCACAGAATGCCATGCAGTAAAAGAAGGTGGCCTTGTTTTTAATAGATACTGTAAGGGAAGAAAAAAAATCCAACACAAATTTATGTAAAAGCCATTAATAGGATCCCTTAATGTGTACATTAGCATGACTGACCTAGCAAGAATTAAAATAATTCCCAGTCAAACAAAACAAAGCCCTGGTTTTTTTATTTGCTCAACGTGAAAAAAAGTACAACCTCAACTAACTAATTTTCCTTGAAAAAGAAATTGTATAACTGCTCATAGTTTCCAAGGAAATACCTGACAGATTAAATCTCTTTAAATGTTTTATATGTGCACACTTTTGCTATGGGACCCATTATAGTACATTGTTATTCAGGCCAGGAGTTTAAAAGACATTATGAAATGTGTTAAATCAAAGTTTATTTCTGGACATTACTCTTTATAATGAATTTGGAGGAAGAAAAAATACCAAGTCGTGCTTCAAGGTAGGAATTGCTTCCAGGTACGGTCCCTTAAAATAAATTTTCCGTAGGAACGGATTATTTCTTTGAACTGTTGCAGAGTTTACAATTTTCCTCTGACCTTGCTCATCATTAATTATATTATAGTAGTGTTTCGGTTTATTTGCAGTTCTGATTTTTTCAGTTTTAGGGTCACACAATGAAATCAGGTTTATATCCTCCTTGTTCCTCTGTGATCTTGTTTGGATTCAGAACAGTGCAGAGTAGAGATCTGGCAAATAGGTAAATGGGAGTGTCACTGTTTATTAGGTTGAAGGTGAGATCAGTAACTATCTGTGATGGGCTAATTTTATTAATTTTTTATTTATTTAGGAAATGGATGGTAGTGAGTGAAGTTTAACTTGTGGGGTTTATAATATTCTTCTTTAAGCAGAGAAACTGGTGAAGAACTGTTGAAATGGTTCAAATTAGCCATGGAAAAGCTGAGCAATATATTAGAACAATTAAATTCTGCTAGGAATATTTAATAAAGCAGTTTCCGTCATCCAGTTCTCACACTTTCTTTTAAAATATGCATTTAAAGCATTAGTGATGTTAGTGTAGGCTTTTATATTCTGTCATTTTACTTCTTAATCTCTTTTGCAGAAAGAATATGGGACTCTGTGGGAGAATGTTCTTGTTTCTGTATTTTTTCCCTTACGAAATTACTCTAAATTTTAAGAAAATAAGTGCGTATTCAGGCTGTCTGATATTTGACTCCATGTAAACTTTCAGAAAAAGTCTGTTGGGGAGAAGACAATTTCATTGTTTCTTGCTGTTTAATTTCTAAATGGCTTTTTGTAGTGTAGTTTCTCAGAGAGTCATACAATTTTGGTTTTGTTATTCTTGGGTTTTTCTTCTTTCCTGCTTGCAAGTTGTCAGTGACACAGTTAAAACTGTACAGTCCTCCATGGAGCTAGGAACCCATTTCTTTAAGGAAAGTTGGCCTTGCATGCAGTGGTATCTCTTGATTTTTATTTTTCTCCACTCCATTTACTAGGCACATATAGTGAGAGTTTTTAGTCTCATGTGTAACAAGAATATGCAGTTATAAGTGAGGAAGGAAAGGTGGGACTAGTAGGTATGGAAATTGGTAAGCAAGAGGTTGGAGAGGTGGGTTGCAAGAGAAGAATATGGCATTTATGGTCTGATTTTTCTTTGTTTTTTTCCAAGCAGTAGGGATGCAAAAATACACTCTTAATTAGTATTCCATATTAATATCAGTCATACTTTATTGTTCAAGCCACTTGGTGTAAACTCCTCAATGGAAAGTAAACTGAGGTTGGCCTTCTATTGAATTATTGGAGTGAAACGTCAGAATTGAGGTCTGGCTGAAAAAACAGACCATAGAAGCTTTTTGACTTTTGTTGGCTTAGTGTTTGTATAGGCACTTGGATAAGATAACAGGAGAAAAGTTGCTAAATATATAGGGGAAAGTACTGCTCAAGAAAGCATGAAGCAAGGAAGGGAGAAGATAAGTTTCCTTCTTTGAGTTATTCAATGGATAGATGCATAGTTTGGGAGAACTGGGGAGGGAACTACTTAGTCCTGCTGGAGGAACCTGAGATAAGTGTAGAGGGATTGGGTGGTTTGGGGTTTTTGTTAGGATTTGGGGTTTTTTTTCAGTCATCTTTATAATTGCTTGTCTGTTTCTGCTGTCTTTCTGCACCTCTTGGATTCATCAAAAGAGACACGAGAAATCCCTTGGCTGTTAATCTCAACAGGCAGTTTAGCAGCCTCTACTGGGCTTTTATTGCAACTTGTTGCATCTGATTTGCTGTCATTACAGCAGTCTTTTTATGCACAGTGTCTATAATCTGCACCATTAATGCTACAAGGAAATGCCCTCTTCTCTCTGCATTCACTCTCTTAAAAAATACTTAAAGCCAGGTTTCTAAAATAAGCTTTTAGATAGATTACTTTTATAGCATTTTAGCCATGTGAGTAAAACACAGATGAGATTAAAACCACAGAAAAGCACAAGCAATTTACTAGATGTAGGTGCAGTAAAAAGGGACTTATAAAGGTTGCATTGATTTGAGTTTGGGGAAGGTGAAGGTGTGCTGGTTACTGAGGCAGTTCTGCGTATTTCCAAAAGCTGTTCTCCTGAACTCACAAAGGCTGTTTCCAGAATGGTAGCTGACCATAAATGGGACTTCAGTCATTATGAGCATATCATAACTTCAACTGGAATTATTCTATACAGCAGTTATGTTACTACCGGCACAATTGCCTGTGATATTTCTTACAGCATGGACTGGATGTGCAGTTGCAGTAAGAGAAGATTAGTAATGAACAAGAAGTGCAGATAACATTCTAGTCTGTCAGCTTCTTTTTGAAGACTTTGTCAGGTATAATTATTTTGTAAGGTCTGGTTTGGCAGCATTTACTCTGAAAAACACTTACTTTATAAGTGTTTTGTGAAAAGTCAGTGTGATATTAAGGTTTGTATTGAGGAATTTTCTCTATGTTGAACATGTACTCTGTCAGAAGAAAGGAGACTTTAAAATTTATTTATTTATTAGCTAGCTATTTGTCCAGCATTATAATGGCCTAGTATTTGCCATCTGAATCATATTTCACATTGTCATCTTTGAATTTTTTAATAAACAAGAGAGGCAGTTTATTTTGTGACTCATACTCATGGATCTGAGTAGCCTTTGGGAGATGACACATTGTTTACTTTGGTTTCAATAGTTTTCACAGAATAAAGCTTCAACAGTAGCTCCATCATGTTACGATTTCCAGGCCTTTTAAGTTGTCTGGGGATCATGCCAGTAGTCTTTAAAAGAACACAGCTAATTAATTCTTCCGGTTAGTTAGTATTTCTGGCATAAATGAGCGCTAGGATCTCTCTGTGTGTCTCTTTTCAACATTATAAAGTCACACTGAAGGGGTTTTTTTGAAATAGCTAGAAGCAGGATGTAAAAGGATCAGTAAATGGTCATTACTACAAGCATAACTTTATATTGTACTGCACTTCAGTATTTAAAAGTTTTGCTTTGTAATTAAACTCTGATATTAATGGTTTTAGGAAGAATACTTTCTCTGAGTCACCATTGCTGGATTTTCCTTCTGGTAATTAATTTCTTGAATAGATTTTTCTCTTTACTTCTATGATGCTGTATTGCCTTTATTTTTATGCCCAAGTCTCTGAATGAAGCCAGAATGTTGCTGCCAGCAGTTTCCCTTACCTCCTGTTGGTACCTTTTTCTTCTACAGTCTATTTACTGGCAGTCTTGGCTGTTCACTCTTGCATCTGTGCCTTTTATTTGCCACTGGTATATATAACTTTCTAACAACATTCTGCATGTCCTGCTGCTGAATCCTGAGTTCTGTGGCTGACGACAGCACTACATGTTTGTTCCTTTGGCATGCATCTGTCGAAGTAACTTTCAGTTCCTTTAAGCTTTCCTCTAGAGATGGAGACTGAGTTCATTTTGTAATTTCTTTGCAACATCAATATTTGGGGAAAAAAACCCTTTTAATCTGTTTTTACTATAGTAGAGAGGCCTCATGAGGCCTCGTTACCTTCTACTTCAGACTTCTGTAAGGTTAATAATCTTTTGATGCTCTGCAGTAGGTTGGGGTTTTTTTAAGTGATGATTGGAGAGAGACCTTCATATTCTATGATACAAGTGCATTTTTCATGTTATGTAGTCAGTGCAGCCATATTAGTTGCCCCTTGTAATTGAAATGGAAAAAAAAAACCTTTTTTGTTTTTGTGAATATGTTGGAGTATATTTCTCTGTGAATGAAGATAGTGGAATCAGAGCCTACTGGGGTTTTTTTTATCCAGAATACGGTAAATGTAATCATATTCCACCATGTTGCCACATTTGTTGCACACGTACAAAAATTTCTTAGTAACTTCAGCAAAATTATAGAGTGGATGTTAATTCTAGCTCTTTCTGCACTAACTGCCTGCATCCATCTTGGTTCTAAGCCACTGAAACTTAAAAGTACAGTAGTAAAATAAAAATAAGCAGTCTCTCAAGTTTTGCATACTACCAACACATAGTTGGACTTCAGAAGCGTTGGATGATGCCCCATAAGTAATTTTATGTCTCATGGAGATGCAGAAAACTTTCTCTGTAGCACTTCTTTGAATTTTAAGATAATTGTTATAATAGTTGGCAGTTTTGGAGTAATAATTGGAAATTGTGTTTTATTGAGACTCCAGACACTGAAAAATGAGCTAGAATACAAAATATGTTATTGAAATGAAGCACTAGGGTGATGATGGGGTTTAAATACTGTTTTTCAATTTGTTCTGCGTGGTTTTTGTGAAAACTCTACATGCATTAATTTCTTTCCATGGAGTTTTTGCTGTAACAGCTGTGAAGGTGCTTTTTTTGCCCATCTGATAAAATTTACATAAGGAGTAAGTACAAACTTCTTAGTACTGTACAGGGAACTTGAGATGGAGATTATAGAATTTACTGTTCTAATAGAGTGTATTGTGATATGGATTGCTTTAATGTAGGTTAGAGAAATTGGAAAGAAAAATAAGAGGTCTTAGGAGGATTGAGAGGGGACTAACTATTTAGCAGGAAGTCTTAAGGACTGTTCAGTAGTCAAGGGCTGGAAAAATGACATTTGCTACTGAATTATGGTAAACCAATTTTCTTCTTTTAATGGAATCCTCTGTTTTTGTGGACTTGCTGTGATCTTGTCAGATACAAATTTTAATTAGGAAAGTATTGCAGTACAGTTATTGATAAACTTGTGTTTCATTTTTTTGTGGAGTGTTTTTTTGTTACATCAAAAATGCCTGCTTTCCATGTCTCAAGGCTTTCCTTTCTCTTCCAGAAAATGCTGGGACAGAAGAGATGAGTACTCCCTTTACTAAGGCCTAAAACTGCCTGTTGAAAAACAATCCTGACCAGGCAATATACGAATGGCCCAAGGAAGCCAGCAAATTGATATTCAGGTTTTACATGACCTGCGACAGAAGTTTCCTGAGGTACCTGAAGGTGTTGTATCCAGATGCATGTTACAGGTCAGTGTTCTGTTAATGACTGTAAGAGTAAGCAGCAGTGCTTATTTAAAGCCTGGGTGCCTCCTTTGAAAACAGATGTTTTTCTTACTATTTTTCTTTATAAATGAGACAAATACAGCCAATTCCTTTATTTTGCACAGCAAGCAAAGTGTTAAATTGGCCTCTCTTTTTCGGTGTCTAATGAGGGGTGGCCCAAGGTAAACCAGCCTATAAATCAGTAATCAGTGTGTGCATGGAGACTATGGTCTCACCAATCAGTATGCTCATGCCTTTTGGCCATCTCAAGAGTCAAAACTAACTGTGGCAAAAGGAGGGATGCAAAGCCAACTTGAGTCCAACAGGGACAATTTAAGGCAGTGCTACAAAATGCATTATTTTTTAAATTTTATTTTGGTTTTTATTTGAGGTTTAGGGCAGGTCCAGAAGCAACTTTGCTATCTAGTCTCCATCAGACTTTGAGGTAATTAGTGGGCCCTTGCCTGCATACAGGTTGGCCCCAGTGCTTTCCACTCCCAGTTCCCTTGGCCTGCAGAGCCAGCACTGGTGGCCTTAGGTAACTTCTGCACTGGCAAGTGTGATGTGGGCACGCTCAAATTCTCTGTCTGACTCAGGCTCAATCAGGCAGGGCTAGATGGTTGTAGCTTAACATCCACCATGTTAGACCTGAGTGGGTGTGATGCACTGGTGTGCTTCTGCCCAGTGCTTCCTAGGGCTTTGGCTGCCAGATGGGATTCATTTGTTTTGCTGTAGCTCTGGAGTCCATGTGGCTAATTAATGGATTTCTATTGGGCTTGAAGGTAACAAAGTGTTTTTCACAGGTGCTGCAGTTAGTGCTAAGACCGTGGACTGATGTTCTCAATGTCTGTGTGCTGTTTTTAATGCTGCCACTATCAGGATCGTGCCCATGTTTTGTAGCAACTTCTACTCTATAATATGATGTTAGCTACTTCAGCAGATAAATCAGTATGCCCATCCAAAGCCCAGTGGGGACACCTAAATGCCTAGAGTTAACAAATGCTGATAGACTTACTTAACTATGTTCCTTAAACATGTTTGCTTTGCATTTTCCAGCGACTCAAAGCATCCATACTGATTGAATTTTTTTCATTATCTAAGATACTCAACCTTTGAGTACTCAAGTTAATGAGAGAATTATCTTAATATTCATACTGATAATCTGTAAACAACACTTGATTTGAAAAATGACGGGTCATGGGTTCCCAGAAGCTAATAGTCTCTGGACTATGACTAGGACATCTGTGGTTAGGAGTCCTTTATATCATAATTGTTTGTCTTGCTATTTATATGTATTTTTATTTATGAAATACATATATGTGTGTACTCACAAATGTATATGTACTCACACACATACATCCGAATACAGTGTTCGTACTCTTGGTAATAAATTTGTTAAACTGTGCCAGTTTAACATTCATATTTTCAAGACTTTATCATAACTCTCCATTCTTACTAAGAAGAATCGTTAGACTAAGAAGCTGTGAAAAGTGCAGTCCTTCAAGAGAATTGCTTTTGATTTACAAGAAGACAAAATTTTGCTTGGGGCTTGTGAGGTTTCAAGCTTTCCCCAACCCCTTCTTTCTAATTATTTAGCTGAAGAGGAAACTGAACCAGACTATATTTGTTCTCAAGACTGTACACTGCAAGTTTTATATTAGTGCTTTGTAGGACTTAATACTACAAGTACAGTTTTGTTCTTAAAACATGAGAACTGCTTGTTGAGCAAGGTCAGTGGGCTTGACAGGGTGAATGTATCAGTAATCACCTTTTGAATGTAATTCTTGATAAATTTAAAAGCTAATGCTTGTCTTTAGGGAGACTCAGCAGTCTTCATAACATTGAATACAGTGGATATTTTTTTAATAAAAAGTCTTATAATTGTGAAGAAAAGATACTGTACATCCCATACTTTGACAGATTTATGCAAGGAGGGTTTAGCTTTTGAGGAAGTGTTTTAGGTCAGCTTTCGTAAGAGACTCTTTAAAAAACACTTCCGTGTTTTTATTTGAGGGTTGAGTTCCATGTGTGCAGTATTGTTACACTAATTTGTTACACTAGAAAGCTACCTGTTTTTGTTAGTTAGCCCAGAGCTAAGACTCACCAACAGAATCCTGTCGTCTCGGTGGTTCTTTGAAATATTGCGAGCTCTGGTTTCTCTGACTCAGCTTCTAGCTTTTCTGTTCTGAGTTACTAGGGCTTTTTGGTTTTGTGTTTTGTGGGTTTGTTTTTTTGCTTGCTTGCTTGTGTTTTGGTTTGTTTGAGGGGGTTTGTTGTTATAAAAGCTGCCTAACATGACTTCTTTAAACCAACAAATTTTGTACTTGGACTGGCAGGAAAGATTGAAAAGCAGAATTTGAGAGTACTTGTGCACGTGTTTGCAATACTGTTGCAACAGTGTGTAAATCCTGAGTTCTGCTGCCTTGTAGTTAAGCATAGTGAAAGGAATTCCAATAAAGGCAGTAAGTGGTTTAGGTCAAAGACAAGTACTTGAGGACATTATCAGGTATAAGAAATGGTGTGTTTGCTTTACCCCCACAATACCTAATGTACCTGATATGTCAGGGTGAAGTGATTTTTAAGCTAGGCATTATAAGATATCCTAGGAGAGAATCTGAAAGAGTTTAAGCAGTTAGGCAGTTTATAATATTATTGATGAGGCTTTTATAACAAGGAAAGTTTCTTCAGATCACTGTGAATTATGCATGAAAAGCTATACAGATACTTCAGTCCTCCTCCTTGAATTCTTTTTAGCCAAACACAGCATAATTTTAAACAAAGGTTTGTAGCATTATATGCTTATAATGAAAAAAATTATGGATAAAGAGAATATGCAAATGTCTCAAGGTAAATAGGTCTTACTGTTGAAATGTCTAAGCAATATATAGCATACTAAAAACAGAGAACCACCAAAGATCCAATAGGATGAAACTTCAACCCTCTTAATTAGGGAGTAAAAAGTCTTGGGCTGACAGCACTGAATGTTCCTAAAAAGTTTTGTATCCCTCTGTTCTTCCCAACAAGCCTCCTGCAATTCAACTCTTCCGTTCTCCTCATTTAAAGGAGTCACTGCAGTGCCTGCGATCTGTGGACATTGTTCCCTGTTGTTCTGTTTTTTGTGTCTGGAGCATTCTGTAATGCCTGCTCCTCAAGTCTACGTCCTCTCCTTGCTTCCTTATTTCCCTCCAACATTCTTATTCTTTCTTTTTTTTTCTTTCTCTTTCAGGGTGCCAACATTTTAAACTCAATTGGGACATGGGCAGAGATAAGATGAGGGGTATTGTTTTGCTGGAATATGCTCAGTTCTGCCATCAACCGGTTCTCTGATCTATAAAGAGCTAGAAGCGGTTGAAACTCTGCCTCTGCCAGCCAGAAGATGCCAGGGGTTCCATGTGCCCCCGTTTCCCCTTTGAGTTCTCCAATTTTCTCATTGACGTCACTGAAATTTTGGAATTGATTGGATGCAGTCTTAAAAAAGAAAAAAAAATTGTCCAAAGAAATGCATTCAAGCTGAATGTAAGGGCCTTGCAAGCTTGGCCTGTTCCTTTTTGGTTTGGTATTTTTGGCCTTTCTGTTAATAATTTTAATTCACTTAAGTTCATGCAAAATCTGCCTTTAAGATCTTTCTAGCTTGTTTTTCTGTGGCATCCTATCTTTTTCTCTTTTCTGGCTCCCTTTTCTCCTTTGCAACAAGTACAAGGCTATTGTTCTTATCTTTTCTTACCCACTGTTCTGTCTGTGTGTTTCCTTTCTTCACTACTAACTTCCTTTGATTACCTTGTTCTCTGGTGCTTATTCCAAACTAGAGCCAATACACATATCATCAGTTTCACCCATTTTCATATATATGAAGACTTTTCTGCAACAATCCTTATATACAGTTGTCTTGTTAGATAGCCTTTAGGGAATCCTGTTATTTTAAGAGGTTTTGTGGCTGGGTTTTGTGGGGGATTTTTTTATTTTTTTTAAAGAGTTCAGAACTGCATCTGGTCTGTATAAACACATAGTTTTGGTTTTGTGGGTGGAGTTTAGCCTTGTCATCCCTCTCCCACTTCTGTTTTCATTTTTTCTGGTTTTTTGGGTTTTTTTTGTTTTTTGTTTTTTGTAAATGTGTAAGGTAAAGATGGTCTTGCTATGTCTGCACAACACTGTCACCCTTCATCTTGGTTGAAGGAAGAGAAATAGGTCTGCTAGTTTAACAAAAGTAACTTGATAGAAAGCATGTAGCATGGATCAATTTATCTTGCTTGTGTTACTCTTTAACTAACTGATCACCTTACTTCTTGGCATGTGCAGTTTTTTTCCTCGGTCACGTGCATTCTTTCTAATAACTGTTTTCTGTGTGCTGGATGAATTTGACACCTCTTTAGTTTTATTAACATCTGGGCCTGAACAGATGCTCTTCTGGCTGCAAGTATTAACCTTTATTTCTTGGGGGGTGAGGGGAGGGAGGTTCTGTAAGAAAAGTGATATAGACAGAGCACAATATTAAGAAATTATGCCACTGACGCATGTATTCACTCTTTTCTAAAAATCCTTATGTAGGAAACTAAATTGGGAAGATTGGAATACAGTATTACTAAACATGTGGAAAAAGAGAAGAGAGTATAGCAGTTTGCTTCTGAAATGTTCTTAAAAAGCAAATTAGCTAGACTGTGGTTTCTTTTCTAAGTCATCCTATTACAGGTTTTATGAAGTAACTTTGTACAAATATAAATATTTAGGAGCTGTGCAAGCAGTGGTTTAAAATGAAAATACAAACGTCCCCTGGGTTTTCCATTAATAGTAATCCTGCAGTATTTTTATAAACTGAATTTCTACATTTCTTCTGAAGTCATGTACAACTCCTTGGGTCAGCATGTTTCTTCTCTGCATAAAACTCACTTTCCATTTTCAGCAGCAGGTAATGCATAGCTGGTATTGAAGTATTTGGGAAAACATTTAAAATAAACATATATTTTTATTTTTGTTTTTAAGTTGTTAACCAATAACGTGCAGATGCTGTGAATCCACTTCTGCTGTCATTTTCCTCCTCAAGCTGGAGATTTGGTCTCTGCTGAAGATTATTCTGAAATTGAGAAGGAATAGGAAAAGTATTCATCCAAGGTGTATCATATTGTATAGTGTTAGCTTGTCAAGGTCCAGGATCTCCCTGTCATTGCTTCAGCAGCAATGCTGACCTCTGCCCTTGGTGCCTCTGGCTGTCTCTGTTCTCAGGATAGTAAGCTTCACATGCAAGCCCCTTGTGTGTGCATAGCAGCTATGCTAGCCAGCCACCTAAAGCTTTCTGTCTGATGCTACATTGTTAATTTATCAGTTGTGATTGGGTGTATACATGTATAACTATGACAGTATTTAATCACTAATGTCAAACTTGCATCTGTCTTTTATAGAATAACAATAATTTGGATGCCTGTTGTGCAGTTCTCTCTCAGGAGAGCACAAAGTATCTCTACGGTGAAGGAGACCTAAGTTTTTCGGATGATTCTGGGATTCCTGGACTACGAAATCACATGACATCTCTTAATTTGGATTTGCAGTCACAGAATGTCTATCACCATGGAAGAGAAGGAAGTAGAATGAATGGAAGTAGGACTCTAGCTCACAGTGTTAGTGATGGACACCTTCAAACCAGTCAGTCCAACAATGAACTGTTTCAACAGGAACCACAGACAGCACCTGCGCAGGTTCCACAAGGATTTAATGTCTTTGGGATGGCTAATACAGTTAGTGCTTCTAATCCAGGGCAGCATCTTGGATTTCACCTAGGCAGCAAAGGAGTATCTAACTTGTCTCAACAAACGCCCAGATTCAACCCCATCATGGTAACTTTAGCCCCAAACATTCAGCCTGGTCGCAATACTCCTACGTCTTTGCACATACATGGTGTACCTCCTCCTGTACTTAACAGTCCACAGGGAAATTCTATCTATATTAGGCCTTACATCACAGCTCCCAGTGGTACCTCTAGACAGACACAGCAACAGCCAGGCTGGGCATCTCAGTTTAATCCCACGCACCCTCAGCAAGTCTACCAGCCTTCACAGCCAAGTCCCTGGACTACTATTCCTACATCCAGTACTACGCCACATACCTCATCGCAACACTCAACACAGCCAAACCAGCAAGGCCACCAGACTTCTCATGTCTACATGCCTATCAGTTCTCCTACTACTCCACAAGCACCTATGATTCATTCATCTGGTAGCTCTCAATCTTCTGCTCACAGCCAATACAACATTCAGAATATATCCACAGGACCTCGCAAAAACCAAATTGAAATCAAACTTGAACCGCCACAAAGAAATAGTACTTCTAAGTTGCGTTCAACTGGCCCTCGCACCTCCACTGCTCCCTCTTCCCTCAACAGCCAGACATTAAGTAGAAGTCAACCCACTGTTTACATATCGGCCAGTCCTCCAAATACCGATGAAGTGATCACTCGTGGTCAGCCCAAGGTCTACATTTCAGCAAATGCCACAACAGGAGATGATCAACTTGTGCGGAACCAGCCCACGCTTTTCATATCAACAAATCCTGGAGTATCTACTACTGCTAGGAATATGTCTGGTCAAGTAAGCATGGGTCCTGCATTTATTCATCACCATCCACCCAAGAGTCGAGCAGTGGGCAACAGCACCACTGCAACCTCTCCTCGAGTGGTGGTTACGCAGCCTAACACAAAATATACTTTTAAAATTACAGTTTCTCCAAATAAGCCCCCTGCAGTTTCCCCAGGGGTAGTGTCCCCAACTTTTGAACCTACAAACCTTCTAAACCTTCCTGATCACTATGTTGAACCAGAGGGTATCCAGCATCTTACTGACCCTGTTTTAGCACATGTGGATAGGATCAGTGATGCACGGAAATTGAGTATGGGATCTGATGATGCTGCCTACACACAAGGTAATATTCTTAATATAAATCATAGAGATTTTGACCAGGTTGTCCATTCAGTGTGTAGATTACAGAACAGAAAACAGTTAGTAACCTTTGCGATGTTAATACAGTATTGTCAACTTTAGCATTCGTGAGTATTTCTAAATAAATAAAAGTGCTTCATAAGCAAATCACAGATTTCTTTTTATGGTAAAGACATGTAACTGAATACTTGGAGATAATTCTTCTGTTTGTCTTAAGTAGATATGTTATCTGTTTAATGAAGTGGAGTCATAACATCTTCATTTTTACGTTGTTCTGAAAGAAACATCTACTCTTATTCGACTTGTCTTAATGACTTAAAGGTACAAGTCCACTGTCAGATTTTTAAATCAGTTGAGATACTGTTTCCACTGGGTAATGTTCCCATTTTTTCTTTTTGCAAGTGTTATTTAAGAAAGAAGAAAAGCAGACTTCAAAAGCAATTAATGGGATGAAGTCTTGGCCTCCATGTTCCCTACTGTGTGCCTGACAATAAAAATCTTAAAGTCTTGGTACTTACTTCTGTTACGTTATAAAACGTTAGAAGGAACACCACACCAAAGTTAGCTGTTTTACAGATCGGTGGTAATGGAAGGGTAAAACTTAAAATATGTGATACGGCAATATAACCTGTTAATCTGTTTTCTTCTGTTTTCATGGGTTTGCATGCTTTTATTACCAACCTGATGGTTTATTAACCCTCCTGTGGACTTTCTGTGTAAAGATGCTGAATGAATTTTAGGATATTTAAGCAGTATTCAGGAGAAGTGGTCAAAATAATTTGTCTTTGACCTCACTGGTCCTCTTTGGACCTACCAGACAGTTCAGAATTAGAAAAACGGGCTTGTTCATGACCACTGTAAACATTCTTCAGATGAATTTAGCCATTTTGTTTTATGTAAGTAAGTACAGTGATCAGGAGACTAGAAGCCATGTCTGCATCCAGAATACTATATGAAGTAAATGAACACTAATTATAGCTTGTGCACTACTTCTGGATGTAATTATCTTTGGTGAGGAGTAGTCAATCCTAACTCAAAAGTTTCTAAAGGTTAGGTGTGAAAACTAAAAGCTAATCGTCCTAGACTGTCTTTTACATTCAGTGCGTAGTTAAAGAACTTCAGAAAATTACTCGTCTGTAGATAAGGAAAACAAATTGCCCCCCAGAAGTCATATTCCCTTTTCTTACTTTGAAGGGAGACTTGACTGGCTCTTTTAGTTTTAGTCCTAGTCCTAGAAGATTTTGTATACGTAGAAATTAAGCAGCTGAAATCTCGTCCTTAGGCTCTAAATAGACTTCTAGGTCATGAACTTGCTTCCCAAGCATTCTGCATTTTGAGTACTTTTTGATGTAGGGTATCCCTTTCTCCTGTTTTGCCTTTCTGACGGCACTGACTTCTACCAGGTCTAGTTCTTTACCTCTTGTACTCCTGGTAGCGATGGCCACTGTAACCTGCACAATCTCTATAGGCTGCAAGTATCAGCATTCAGTTTATCAAGATGAGGCAAGCTTGATACACAACATAAGAGTTCAGAAGTGTTGACCTCAGACCTGCTGTGGAGCCCAACTCTTCCTGAAACCAAGACATAAATGCAGCTTTTAGATGAAGTGTAGATGCATGATGTGGGTTGGTACAGCTTTAGGGACCTCAGGGAAAGACCACCTTTCTGTGTCTTTCACTAGTTCATATGAAGTATACTCATGCTTCCAAAGTTCTTTACATCCAGAAGATTTCTGGCATGTGTGCTTAATTTCTGCCGCGGTAAATGCAGTGTTTTTTACATTTTTATTATTATTTAATCTTTGGAAAGTTGAAGTCTGTGATAGGCTTGCTTGTATAATATTGATACTTGAAAGTTCTAATTATTGCTTTTAAACATGTTTCTTTTACTTAGCAATGGGGTTTTTTTCTGTTATGTACAAGAAGGGATTTGAGTTGCTCGATGCTTTCTTTTGTGAGGCTGTGTTCTAAAGTGCTTATAATTTAACCAGACTATGCCAAAAACCTTCCATGCGAGGTGATTGTCTCATTCTAATTTTAACCAGAACAGATGAGTAGTTTCTCTGGCCATGATTAGAGAAAAATGTATTTTCATCAGCTTTTCCATTTCTGCCAGAATGCTCCTTATCTTGGCAGGAAGAACTGAAACTGGCTTGGAGTAGAAGGAACCTTGGGGTGGAAGGTGGAGTTCCTTTGGTGTCTAAGAAAATTTCCTGTACTTTTTTTATTTACTTTACATTTATATGCGTGGTCCAACCCAGGAGAAAAGAAGATGTGTTGGACCTATCTGCAAGTGCTGCTGTCTGCCATCCGAGAAGCTTTACTTAATTATGTGTGTAGGCACTCCAGTCTCCTTCCACGATTAGATTTCTCTTTGTCCTCCCAAGTAAGTCGCAGCAGGTAGTAGGTGGCTTCCCCAGATCTCTGTCTTGTTTGCTGCCAAATCCGGAGGTTATGTAGTGTGGAAAGGAGTGGATACTGCTCAGAAAAAAATGGCTATCGTTACCATGGAATGCTCAGTTATATCTCTGGCATTGACTCTGTGATGCTAAGAAACTCACCAGACTTATCAGAAGTGGTTGCTAATGGATGTTTCTCATTTTCTGGGATTCCCGTTTGAGATACTGTGGACACGCTTGTGGAAATGTTGAGCATCCGCATCCGCTACTGAAGTCAGTAAGAATAAAGCTGTGAGAAGAGTAATGCTAGGTGCATGCCCAGAAGGACAGCCGAAAGAGGATGCATTTTTATGCCAATCTGTGTAGTGTCAGTTCTCTGCGTGTACAGGACTATTGGTTCCCATTACTTAGCAGAGATTTCAATTTATAATTAGTTTTATTAATATGAAGGAGGTAAATGAGATTTCAATGTATACTTTAGTTTAAAGTGTCTTATGGATGAAAAAAGTGAAATCCTGTTGGAAATGGAAAATTCTGTACTCAGATATGTTGCTGTGGTGTATGTTCACTCTGCATGTACTCCTGTGTTGAATAGTGAGGCTAAATAATTATTTAGTAGTTGCTCATTCTGTGTGTAGCTTTCCATCTGTATAATGGGAAGGCATCCCATCAAGAAAATGCATAATTGTGTAATAAAATCTTTAGGTAGATGTTTTCTTACTTGGGAGCTTAAGTCCCTTAGTTAAGTATTACATGGCTTTGACTGATTATTTTCTTTAGCCTGGGAAGGGGATGGTATGCAGAGTGAATCGTTGATACCATCTATAGGTGTTATATATGTGGGTGCATGTTTGCTTAGTGCAATTCTCGCCACTGTGTGAATTGATAAACTAGATAAGTAAATTAACATTTTGCACTGTTCTTGCTTTGGCTTCTTGGAGCTTTTTAAAATTTTTGAAAATAAAAAAAGCTGCAGGAAACAAGTTTCCCAAATTCCTATCAGTCCTTGTAGATGCTTAGGAAAAAAAAGACTTCAATGAGACACAGCTGTGCCCCATGCTCCAAGAGGCTTTGAGCCCATTGCATCATGTGATCTAAGAAAAAAATGCAGCCTTATATTTGGCTCTCTATATCAGGCCCCACTCTTCAGTGATGCTCTCTTTAAAAAATTAAATGAAGAGAGTGTTGAAAAGGGGAGAACAAAAAAAAATCAGAAGTTATGTATCAAATGACTGAATTCTGTGCAGCTTCAAAGACAGATTTTGAAAACATGCACAAACATAAGTGTGTCCTGAGACTTTCACAAACCTACTGCTGCAGAGTAATTGCGTTGCCAGAATTCCCCTCCATATTTGGCAAACCAAGAAATCTCAGAAATTCATAGGTCTGTAGAATAGGGTGAAAGCATTGCATTCCCAGATTAGCTTAGAAACACAATAACAGAAGACACTCTAGATTTAAAATTCAGATTCAAAGAGGCCTTGAGAAAACAAGTATGCCCGCATTTCCAAACTTACAAGTGTACTCAGAACCCAATTGAGTAGGTCTCTAGGGGAGGAAGAGTGAACTTTTGTCCTTTAGACTTTCATACTTTCTGTAATTATAATGATACACAGCCTTTGTGTGAAAAATATGCACTTTGAATATCAAAGGAAGCAGTGGCATCTGCTAGATTATTAAGTGTAATGTGCTTGCCAGTCTGTTGAATGCAAACATGCAGAAGTTGAAAAAATTGAAGTACCTCGTTTGCACGTAATTAAGAAGTTGAACTGCAGTGTTTTTCTGAACGTTTTCAGTTGCTCTGAGCAACGCTAGAGGGAGCTGAATACCTAAATTGCCGGTTTCCATTCATAAATAATGCAGTGGGATATGAGGAGGGGTTTGTCTTCCCCAACCCATTTTTTTTCCTGGAGCGGCCCGTTTAGTATTTAAGGAAAATTACCAAATTCTGTGTGAAAGTCTCCACTTAAACTAATGTCTTCGAATTCCTTATCCAGGTTACTTTTAGTGGAAGAAGTATAGCATAGCAATACAGAACGCAGTTGTTTAGAGCATGGTGCTGATAATGCCAAAGTCACAGGTTCAATTCCCACCATATGGACCATTCACTTAAGAGCTGGACTCAATGATCCTTCTGGATCCCTTCCAAATCAGAATATTCTGTGACTGAATTAGTATCAAGTGATTCTTTTTTAATCATAATGGTAATTTTGTAATGAGTTTTTCAAAACCTGTTGGGATTTGAAATTGTAAAATGGTAAAGTAGTCACAAAACTGGTAGGAGAATAAATGGCATCACTTTACAGACCTGGTGTGAAAATGGAGAGCAAGTAATAGTGCTGTGGGCATCCATCAGTGCCTTCTGCCCCTTGTGCAGTTCCATGACAACTAAATTTCTAAACCACAGAAGTGGGAGAACATTGAAATGAGAATTTGTGGGGGTTTTCCCTTTACGAGAGTAGCTGAAACAAAAAAGGAGGTGGGGGCTGCACAAGTCAAAGTCTTGAGTCCATACCATGCCACCTGGAGATATTCTGGTAACGTTTTTCCTTACCTACCACATCCAGTGGTACTGGCTGCATGCCAGCAGCCTGCATCCATAGGTCTGAAGAGTTCTGAGTCTGGTCAGTAGAGCACTGCTGTGTTGCTGCAGGTCAAGTACCAATAACCCGAGCTTTGAGATGTTGCCTCAGCAGTAATACCAAAGCAATAAAAATAGAAGAGACTGTCTAAAAGTGGAAATTTAAGTGTAGAAGGAAAAAGGGCCTGTATTCTCCCTGCAGGAATAGAGGCAAAGTAGCCTTTGATTTCATTTCTTTATAGTTGCAGCTGCATTTGTAACTACTGGGGTTCATAAATGAGAAAAGTTTCTTCCACTATTTTTAAAAGGCTTTTCAAAAGGAGATAATGTCTTTTGAGAATACTTACCTGATAATTCAACAAAAATCTTTACCTTGAGATTTCAGTTATTACATTTTTATATTACATATGAGCACGGTTGCAACTTTAACTATGGTGTGACTACTTTGACCTGAAATGAAGGTGCCTCTTTATGTAAACTTCTCTGATTTGATTGAAACCTAGCAGAAGCTTCATCAGCTTTGTCATTTCAGTATCTTGTGAACACATGACTCAAAAGCCTAGACTGGGTCTCAGTAAGGCTTTGCAGTCTGTAACACTGTACAAAAATAGTTTGGCGTGGTTTCTATTTTTGAAGAACCTCTGGAAGACAAAATATGATGTGTGACTGAATGAACAGGCAGGAGTTACAGCAGAAGACAGTTCTGCCTGCCAGAGATGTGGAAAGTTGCATCTTTTTGATGTGCTATTTTTTCCTTTGCTACTACTCAGGAAACCTAGGCAACCAAATTTGAGTGCTTCTAATTTTTTGGTACCTGAAGGAAACCACGATGAACTAAATATTATGTTTGACTTAAAGCTAGAGTTTGACTTAAAGACCTTTGTGAGGCAAATTCAATCTTTTGGAACATCTTGTTATTGCTACTTTTTTATAATGTCTTCGGTGCTATAAAAGTATCCATGGTCTATGAAACTGATCCCAGTTTGTGTGAATTACTGATTGAATGGATGAATTAATGACTATGAAGAAGTTGAAATGATTTCTGGATTTATTTAAAGAAATACTTTTTTTGTAGAAGGTGATTATTGCTTTGAGCAGTGTTATCTGCTTTTGTGGTGATATTTAATAGTAAATATACTTTCAATGAAATGAACTCATTAAACTGCATGAATTTGCGTCTTCTGCTGCATACGTTCTTTGTACCTTTAAAAAGCTGTGGTTTAAATGCTAACTTCATTGTTTCTAAATTGGGTCTCCTCATACCTTTTGCTTTACAAATAGCAAGCAGTGTTAGAAATTAGAAGCTGAGCTAATGGTTCTGCACCGTAGTTTAGGGATAAAATTACATACAATCCAGCCTCTGTGATAAATATCACTGTTTCCTAGTCATATTGCTTATTTCTGGTTTAGTTTCAATTGCTGTGGCCTGTTATGATCAACACTGGATTATGTTCCAATCTTAATAGCAATAAGCATACCTAGTGCTGCATATTGCAGTTGTCTATCCTCTTTATGCTGTTTTACAGTGATGAGGTTGAATGCAATGCAAAGAAACATTTGTTGTTGGCTTCTGGTAGTCATTCTTGTAGATTTTTAGAGATTACAGTTAAATTTTGCGTGGTCATCTATTATGATGTATGACTCATTTTATTTACTTGTCTGTAATTAATTTGTGCTGCTTTCAAAAATACAGCACATTCTGTCTTATGACAGAGATTTTCTTGTGAGGAAAATGGAAAAGCAGTGATTTTGTCTGTATTTTCCCAAAAGAATACTAACTTGCTTCTTTATCTGATATTGCCATGTGAAGGATAATAAAGTAGATAAAATGGGACTTTATGTATTGCAGCTTTACTGGTACACCAGAAGGCCAGGATGGAGCGACTTCAACGAGAACTTGAGGTTCAAAAGAAAAAGTTGGATAAACTAAAAGCAGAGGTCAATGAAATGGAGAATAATCTAACACGAAGGCGCCTGAAAAGATCGAATTCTGTTTCCCAAATTCCGTCAGTAAGTTGAAACGTCTGTAGGCTATCAACCTAAACCACAAGTGTGGTCTGTCACAATAAATTGAAGGAAGAGTTGTTCATATACTGACAATATGCTAGTGACAGGCAGTATAGCTAGAATTAAGCTGGTAAACAGTGTAGCTCAGAGTAAAGACTAAATATGTGTTATTTAACCACAACCTTGCAGTTCACTAATTGCTTTGTGAAGTATTGCTTTTAAAGGCAGTCACAAAAGGTTTGGCCTGCTAGTCCTTTCTAACATTTCAGACTACAATTTAATACTCATACTACTTTCCACACCAAATATTCTTTGGTCTTTGTGCGTATACCAATCTTGAGGAAACCAATTTAATGCACCAGTTTTCAGTGCATTCAGCCATTGATTTGGTGGACCATTGGCTATGTCCTGACCACAGTCTGGAGTTGTTCAGTCAGCTCTGAAGCCTGATGTGAGGGAATTATTAAGTGGGTTTGAAAGATTTTTGTAAGATCATGCTTGGATTAAAAGAAAGGTGGTCATAAGGGAAGATTTTTAATCTTCGTTTCTAAAATAACTAAATGCTGTCTACCTGTGTGTGAATGATAACTGTTAATAAAGTGGGGAAATTTAGTCTAACAGGCAGATTTATTTTTCCAGCTGGAAGAAATGCAACAGTTGAGAAGTTGTAACAGACAGCTGCAGATAGACATAGATTGCCTAACCAAAGAGATTGATCTTTTTCAAGCAAGAGGTACAGTATATCTTAGTACATCAGACACTGTAAATGTTGATTTTTTTTTTTATTTTTTTTTCACTGTCTGCATTTGTCAAAAGAGTCTGTGTTATAAGTTATGGACACTGTTTGCAAAATCATCACATTAGTTTGAGCGAAACCATGGAAGTAACTGTCTTTTATGCTTGTTGTTTTTGTTGGCTTTATGATTTTCCTAATCCCACGGTCGTTCCTGTTTCATACTTGGCTCAGAAGAGGGAAACTTGTGATGCCATTTATTTAATAAATGCTGGGGTGAAAAATCTGGTTATCTGAGTATCAAAGCGAGAAAAAAAGTTTTTTAAACCATACAACTATACGTATGTGTCCATCTCTCTCTTTTGTCTTCCACGTCTGTCTGTATTCAGCCTCTCAAGTTAGCAAATATAAACTACAGTTGTAACTTCCAGTGTGCTCTCCTTCTTCCGCTTTCCTTGTCTGCAGGGACACAACCTGTGGTCATGAGGGTGAAATTATGAGACAGCTGAGCCAGTTCAAGAGCTGCCAACAAGAGATCCTGCTCTCTTCCTGCTTCCCTCTTATGCCACTTACTGAGCTCTGGCTCTGTATTAGTCTTTTAGACCCTTTGCAGAGCTAATTCTGTCCACAAGCCAAGCAAAAACTGTTGCATTGCTGGAAGAGCTTGCTACATACAGCTCATGTGAGGGAGAGGCATGGGTAGGGAGAACTGAGATAGTGAGAGCGAAGGAACCAATACTTCCCACTTCTAGCAGCAGTGAGCTGTTAGGTCAGTTCAGACATAAACCATGGAAGTTCTCCTTCAGACAATATACCTGCAGTTAAGGAGAAGGTAGACAGGTGTACTGAATGTAATGCTACACTAAAAACCTGACCTGAAATAGAATATTTAAATTGCAGATGACTTTTTTATCTGTTTGTTACAGTAAATTGGATGTAGGACTTCCTCTGAGTATTAATTCTAAGCATGTATCTCTGAGTATAATTGCAATTTAGAAAAAGCTAAAATTTACAATAGAACAGTGTTAAAGCATAGCAGAAAAAAATACCTTTAAGGAGTTTAGTCTGCTGGATTCTGTCTCTAGATTGCACATTTTGGGCAATAAGTTTCTTAAAGTTTATTGTTGACCGCTTATATCTCACTTGGGTCTGTATTGACATCTTGATATAAAAGGTGATAAGGGAATAATAGTACTGTTACAGAATTACTGCCAGAAAAAAAAAATTGACATGCTTTCCGACTCAGATTTATTTTTTTAAACTGCTGCACCTTTTTTTTTTATTTTTAGGACCACATTTTAATCCCAGCGCTATTCATAATTTTTACGATAATATTGGATTTCTTGGTCCCGTGCCACCAAAACCCAAAGGTATTGTACTGATAAAATTTGGATTTAATTCAAATATTTGGTTTGCATCTAATATCAAGTTCTGATTCACAAATCTATTTTAAATGTTGATTATGGAATAGATTTCTTCAAAAGTATGTGAACCTTGCATTTTATTTGTATTGGCAGTAAATATGCTTCTGTTTGCTCTTGTTTCCTCTCTATTCATACATTCAGGAAAGAGAAGTATATTAAATGGGTTATGTTAAAGATGGATAATATATTGGAAGGTAGTTTAAGTAAATGGAAGTATCCATCTGTCTTTAAAAATGAGCATGAGGTACATTGCTTAGGGATGAGTGAAACTCATATGACTTCGTCATTGTCTGTGGTGAAGAGTGGATTTGCTTACATATAGCAATAACTCAGTTTGGTTACCTTGACTGGACTTCTGTCTACTGTAGAGTTTGTATTAACAAATTACATGAAAGCCTCTTCTGACTATTGTTACATATAGTTCTAGCTAGTTGAAGAGGAAATTAATGTAGCCCAGTAGGGCAGTCAGTATTGCTGAATATTAGCCAGTCTTAAACATTCTGCTTGTTATTGTTTGGTACATTACTTATTTTCTTCCCTCTCAGGATGTCAAACAAAGCAGAATAATTACCTCTCGTGTGTTACATAAAGCAGAGAATGAAATTAACTTATTTGCAACGGCATCATACGATGAACTTTAGGCAAACCACCAAGTGAAATAGATAATCCGCTAATGTTTCTGTGCAATCTTTCTGTCCAGGAAGTTCTCCACATAATATATATATGTGTGATTGGTCCTTATCGTGTGCAGTAACTGTTGCTACAGAATCTCATCTTAACAGATTTCTGACCATTCTATATTGTAAAATGGTCTAGATAAATAGGACTTTCTTTATCTTCCAGACTGTTTGTAACATCTCCAAACTGATACTGTTTTTCATGCTTTATAAAGCTCTTTTTTTATCTTTTATCTGAGCTGTTAGTGAAAATACTGACTGAAGTTAAATCCATGCACAGTCCTATTAGATACATTTTACAGCTGAACTATAAAGAATTTATAAGAAGTTCTTTCAATTATTTATTTACCGTAGTTCCCTTTACAGTAAATAAAAAATAACCTATCAAAGAAGAAAATTTAAATTAATTTTCTGTGACTAATTGTTAACATTTCCATTGGCTTATCTTCTAGGAACTCCAAAATTTAAGTGTTTGATTCAATCTTGAAAATGCAAAATTAACCCCGACTGGTTTATAAAGCCCTGAAGTCCCTTTATCAGTTGTCTTCCTTTTCTTCTTTCTTTTTAAAAAAATATCACCGGTGTATCTTAGTTGTTCATTAATTTTCAGTTAAACTGAAGCTTAAAATTAACTGTCGCATAGGCTTTGACTTAATCCACAATTACTGCTGTTCCCAAAAGAAAGAAAAATAATTCTTCTTGCAGTTGTGAGCAGTACTGTTGTACTTTATGAAGATCTTACTGTTGTTTTGCAGCAATTGCCATTGTCTAGTTGCTGATGAGATGTTCTGCAGTTGAAATAATGGGATGAAGGACTGTGCAGTTGCCTAAACTGGGAACCTTTAACTTGAGAAGTCACTCATCTCTCTTTTCATCTTTTTCATCCCTTTTCTCTTTTCTTCTTTTCTCTTTTAAAATAGTCTAACACATCATGCAAAAAGATGCACTTGTATGGTCAGTAGCATGACAGAGCCAGGCATTGTTTTTTCTTTAATGTATCTGCCTGCTGAGCTGGCTTGAGGAAGAACTGCTGATACTCATTCTAGGGTCAAAAAGTTAAACATGTTGGAAGGTTACAGAGCATTTACTTCTTGGCATAATGAATTTTAGAGCTCAGACTTCTAAATCTTGTGCATGTTTCCTGTGCTGATTAATTTCTAAATTTTATCTCCTTTCCATGCAATAGCTTTGAACTGAAGGCAGAAAGGAAGAAGGCAGAGTGAAGGGATGGGAAACTTGCTTTTTATAGTTTCACCTTGTGCCTTTTGGCTGACTTACAATCAAGCTGTAGTCAAGGGGGTGGTAAAAAGCTGCTTCTGTCACTCGTAATAACTGTGCTGTTCTCAGAGGAACAAGATAGTTCTAAGTTACTGAAAAAAAAATAATCTCAAAATTCTTTCCATGCTGTTCTTGGTTAGTAACTTCTTATCTTATCTTTTTCGTGTCACAGATCAGAGGTCCATTGTGAAAACACCAAAGACTGTTCCAGACACAGATGAAGATGAGGGAGCTCAGTGGAGCTGTACCGCCTGTACTTTTTTAAATCATCCAGCCTTAAATCGCTGTGAACAGTGTGAAATGCCCAGGCATTTCTGAGCCAACAGGCCCATTACCTTCTGTAAAACCACAGCAAACGTACAAGGAATTATCCAGTCATTGGGGGGCAAAAAAAGCATTTATGCGTAGGATATTGTAAAATCGAAGTTGTGAGGAGACGGTATTTTGCTAATGTTCAGTGTCAGCCCACAGAGCAAGCAATACCTCAGTGTTGTGCCGCAGGCAGTTGAGATTGACTGACTGAAGGGTAATCTGCTGAAAGACTTGCCAGCTGCCTAAGCCATGTACAGTATTACCAGTGTCCCAATAACAAACACCATGTTCAGTGCCTGGGTGTTGCCCATCCTCTTCTTTGCCCCAATGTCACTACTGAATTTTGACAGGGGAAGGGAATAGAGTGCTAGTGTTTTTGTTTTCAGAGCTCTCGGTGAAACACTACATGCACAGAGGAGATCTTAAAAGGAACAAGGTTTAAGTATTTAAACTGTTTGCTGCCACATAGTGCCTTCGATAAAGGGAAGAGCTTCACGAATCAGTGGTACTCTTTGCCTTGTCTTCCCTGAAAACATCTCTGTGAAGCCAGAAACCAGTACAACTACGTCTAAAGATGAAAAGGAAAAACTGCATGCGTTGTCTGTACAATACACACAGTGAAATACCCCAAAGCTTTTCCTACTGTACATAGTTCTAGGGCCTGCTTTAAGTGATTTCTTTTCTTCACCTTTATTATTTTCTTGTAATTCTGTATGTATAGTGTAATAGTCTTTTTGTTAACTTTCTTTTTTTCCCTTTAAGTGATTAAGCACGATCATGTCCCTTTTTTTAAGCTTTTATCTGAGAGAAGCAATGCCTTAAAATAAGAGCATTAATAAGAAACTATGCACAAAATAGCTTTCCTCTGCTCGTTCTGTACATTGCTCTTGTAAATGCTGATGATCTGTGAAGACCTGCAGATGCAGCGTGGTAAAAATGCAGGAAAAGTTTGAAGAGTTACACATATAGTTCACTCTGTACACTGAGTTTTACGGTGGGTGACACAAAGGTAGCATTTTGTCTGGCATGAGGAAACTTTATACTAGGAAACTTTAAACCCACCAACAGATCAGCATCCGAGTTGAGCTTGCTTCATCTGCTGGGTGTCTTGCAGACTCCTGAAGAGAGATTCATTGGGGAAGTACATACAGTGCCAAAATCAACAGCAGCAGCATCGTACAGCTTTGTTCAAGGACTTTAAATGCTTTCCTGTTTTGGCAACCAGTTTCTAAACCTGACTTTGTGGTGAAGTCTCATATTTATAGAAAACAAGGATAGCGATATTTAGGACAACTGAAATAAAGGCTGGAAAAGAGAAATCAAACAGACTTGAACACTGAAGCAACCTCAAGCATCTCTTATATTTTGATGATCTATTTTTTTAAGGAAAATACTCACATGATCGGGGATGTATGTAACCGAGATCAAGGAAATGGAATTCCAGTACAATATGCATGAAAGACGGCACGCAAAGAATTATGTAGCAGCAGCACTTAGTGTGAGGCTGGAGGGAGTGCTAACAATGTAGCAAAAGATAAAGTAGACTGTCACCCACTGTAAACATCTGCCAGTGGACACTTTTATTAGGAGTTTTACAAGTGATCTATGTGAATGCACAGAGGCCTTTGTTTTGAAGGCTTTGCATTTTTTTTATGTGGGAAGAAAATGTCAATCCCAGGTAATTAGGCAGTAGACCCAAAGCACACTTGCATTCAATGCATTTTGTTTATAAAATGAGGCCTTGTTTTTCAGCTTCATCTGCAGTTCTATGTGAAGATTGACAAATCAGTTTTTACCTGTTTATTAATAAAACCTAATTTGGATATCTTGAGTTGATGGTTTTGTGATTTAGCTGGGTAAACTGCCTTTGTAACAGATAAGTTATTTATAAAAATTAAAAAAAAAATTATATTCTAATGTTTTCTTCTGTGATTTGTTTGCTTTTTCCATGCTATGGAGCAACAGAATACTCAACGGAACAATAAGTATTAACAGTATTAAAAGTCAGATGATTTCTTATACCAGAGTTTTTACTTAAACTTTTGTCTTGTAGAACCTTATGTCTCTCCTCCCAGGCACTATTCTGTTTAATTCAGGGAGGGTATGGAATGTATTTCATAAAGTTGCACTGACTACATTGTTTCCTGACCAAAGACCAATTCACTTACTCATAAAGTAATAAGCTGGACACAGATCCTTTTTACTTCATGCTTCAGGGGTTTACGATTTTAAAAATATTTTTCTAATCAAAATGGGTAACCACTTTGTCCAGGGCAATAGATGATGTAGTTACATCGATATAAGCATGGTTTAAAGGATGAATGTGGTTAAACTGTATTTTGGTGCTATGTATATAATAAGTACTGTGAGATATGCAGTGTTCTTAGACATGTCTTTCCCCCACGGACCCTGTCTAAGCAGACAGTTAGTACTTGGAGTTGGGCTTTCCTGCGGCACAGTGATGCTGTGTAAAAGTCCTTCAGGAGGCCTCTGTAAACAGATCTAGCAAAAAACTAACTGCAGATCCAGCAAAAATCTTTCCTTAACACATTCAACTGGAGTGCCTTAATCTGCAGTAGGAAATAAAGTGGTTGGAGCAAGGAGGGCAGCTGTATTTAAAAAGCAAACAACAAACTCCAGTCAACTGTGGGGTGGAATGAGCATATTTGGAAAATAGGCAAGATGGAATTCTGCTCATTCTATAAAATGCATAATTGATCTTTTCCCTGCATTTATTTGAGTGTTTATTTTTCTGAAGGGGAAAAAATATTTACATCATAGCTCCAGTTAGCTGTGCAGAGCCATCCACACAATATGAGTGTGTATTGGACAGTCTGTTCAATAAATGATCCTGGAATAGTGGGATAAGAGCAGTTATGTCTCCAGTGTCACCTCTTCTACAGACTTTTGCCTTCACCTTCAGGGGTTTTATGTTCCTTGTGTATTTCGGGTCCCATGTATCATCAGCACTTCCTTCAAGCTGATACTAGTATAGTGACATATCACTCTAGTATGTCTTTGTTGGTTTCAGTTAAAAGGATGAAATAGGACTGGATTTCACTGCTGATTTATTTTTTTAATTTTTTTCCTGATAGAGGATAACTATAAAAAAAGAAACATTTGCAGTAAGGTTAAACTTTGTATTGTGTACATCAGTAGTTTATCTTGGATGCTGATTTATGACTTGACTTTTCTGTACTGTCTTTTCAGAGATCTCTGTAACTGTAAAAAAAAAAACCTCTTTGGCGGGAAGGCATTGCCCTTCGTGGCTTTCAGAGATGCTCCTGTTTTTTGTGAATGCATAAGATTATCGCTTGGTCAAGTTTCAGAATAGGGGTAACATTAAAAATGTAGCAACAGAACTGGGACAAAGAGATGGTAACGGGCTGCTGTGTGTCATCATCTCTATGGAACTGACTCCAGTTCACCTTGCCACTTTTCTAGATAAATTAGAAGAACATTTCTCTTGTGCAGTCGGCACTCAGCAGAGCTATTCTTTTGCCTGGGAGTGTGGTTAGGTGTGGCACCTCTGAAATTCATATTAATTGTGAGATTCAGTATCTTCAGTCTCAAGCTAATGATAGACTGGTTTATAAGCTACATGGTTGGTATTTGTGCCTATCTGTGGATTTGCATTATTTGTGTGAATTTAATCAATTTTGTGGTCTCAATGTCTGCCTTCAGCGTACTTTGTAGATGACCAGGGACAAAAGTATCCTTATCAGTACTACATTTCTTCAGTCAAATTCCTCTGCTATAAGTGTACATTGGAGCCTGGACACAAATTAAAGGGAGACTTGATTAAAGATATAGAACAAATAATTGAAAAAAAAAAAGCCAACTATTGAATTTACCAAGTATTTACCCTTTTCAATACTATGTTGGTATTCTAAAATGGGAGTATTGCTACAAAGCAGTGGCAGAAACTTTACAATACAGTTAATTAACAGCATATACAATGCAGCTTCTGAATGCATGGCAACTCCCAGGAATATCTAATTCTAACTTTAGCCAAAAAAAAAGATATTTTATTTATCTCTTTATTTGTTAAAATACCCTTGTAAGTTGAACAGAAAATAGAAATTAGCTTTAAACTTTTGATTCCTTTCATGGGTACAGAGTAGAATGGAAAGGAACAGTATGTTCCTTTTTAAACTGACTGCTTGAATAGCTCTTTTATTGCTTACTTTGAGGAACAGTCTTTGATTTTGTGTAGTCCAAAATGCCTTGTAAGGTTCATATTTTAAAATGCATTGTGTTAATGGCTTTGAATTCTGTGACTGCTTTTTTTCCCACTGCTTATAGGAGCACAGTGCCAGTACAGTTTTGATGTAGTTGATGTGGTAACGAATGGCGATGATGTATATTGAGCATTTCTGATGTGGTTTTGTCTTAGGATGTATTGGCAGACCCCATCCAGGATGTGACTGATAAGCTTCACCTAAATTCAAGTTCCTATGGGGAGTGATTTAAGATCCAAGGCTAAGAAATACAATGTTTGAGACACCAGGGAAATGGACTAAGGAATCCTGTCTTTTGTTCTTCATATACAGAAGCAAGTGTTGTTGCTTTTCTTGCACCCTTCTGTAACATGCAAATTAAAATGTGGCAAACATAAGGCCTCAAGGCTGGAAAAGGATGTCAGGAACTTGGAAGGTTCCATGAGAGAAATGCAGGTGTCACCACTGCGTATCTGTTTATGTGACAGCCACATCTCCATTGTGCACTAAGGTCTCACGCTTGCCACACTTCGTTACATGCCAAGGAAAGATTCACAAGGTTTTCATAAGAAAAGGACAGTGGGAAGCAAGTCCCTGGAGTGCCTCATCTGACTTGTACACAGATGCTTACCCACAGGAGAGGAGAGGGACCTGCATCTAAAAGGGGTTGTTCTTCCTCCATGGTGTTGGAGATTGGACACCAATTCCTTAAAACAGTCTCAAAAGAAAGGCCAGTGCATCAGTAATTCTAGATTAGCTTTGTACCATCGTACTACAACAACAAACTCTCTTAATAAGAAAGTGGTATTTTCTAATTAAGGTAGTAAATCTAGAAGTGAGTTCAAAACAGGTTAATGAATATTGATAGGTCTTCTGAGGTGACAGGAAGCATATTTCAAATGAGAGAATGAATGTTTGTTCAGAAAGAAAACTTGATTACAAAAGTTATCAGCCCTAAAACTTTAGATAAAGAATAGTTTTATAGTGGTTTTATGTTGATATAAATTATAAGCAAATCAATGTTTGTATGTACAGCAGATATAAAAAATATTTCATTTACAAACTGCCTATTTGTAGTAGTAACTCTGTACTTCACAGCTGTAAATTGGGGCCCCTTTTTTCTTTATTATTTGGGCTTTTTAATATATTTTTAATATTTGATATTTCATGTCTTGTAGTCTGGATAGAACAAAATTGGATGGATGGATTTATTTTTTTACCAAATCTTTTCTCATTTTTGCTCTTGTTGTTTGTATTTGTTTTGTGTTAGTCAAATTTCCAGAATTACTTCTTTAGTGTCTTACCTTATTGTCATGGAAACTTACTGTCACATCATCTGGGGACCTGCTGTTTGGAAGAAGGATGTAGGGGATACTTGGATGTGTTGTGCCCCTTCCTACTACTCTGGTTACTCTGGGGCTGGAGCTGACTGGGAGACTGTGGACAGTAGTGAAAAAAATGTGAAATGCCACTTAAAGACATTTCACCAAAGGTGTCATAGAATCGTTGAATGGTTTGGGTTGGAAGGGGCGTTTGAGGTCATTAAGTTCCAAACCCCCTGCTGTGGACAGGGACACCTTCCATTAGACCAGGATGCTCAAAGCCTCACCCAACCTGGCCCTTGGTTTGTCTAAAGGGACCTGTTAGAAATGGTCCATCTCAGCAATATTACTGTGTCACTGGCTCACTTTTGAAAAGATCCTCTGTTTTTGTGACACGGCAGCTCTGTGCCAAGAAGTGTGCAGAACGTAAACCCAGCTTCTTGCTATTCCCTGTGCCTTTTCTCATCTCTGTTCTTATCTCTGCCTCTGTCTTTTCAGCTTTCCTTTTCTCCATCTCTAATTTAGAGACTTGAACACGCACTCAAGCCAAATCTTGTATGTTTTTTTGTAGCTATCTGATAGCTAGAGTGAAAAATTGGATTAAAACTGGGATGCATCTTTTGTTTTCTTCCATGAGCCTTTTTATTCCCTCTATGTTTTGGGGCCAGAAACCAAATTTAAATATAACCTGAGGAAAGAAAATACTGTTCTTCCGGCAGAGATATTTGACACAATTATGAAAAGATTGTCATGAGATGTCTTTTCTGCCAGCAAGAATCACTTTTTGGTAGCCAGTGTCTACAGGTTATATTTGCTGTCATAGAGAGGGTGTTGGATGCTGTCATCAGACATCCAGCTTGAAATCAGTATGGTTTGATGCCATGTCACAGACTTGTTCAGTGGCTTGGGGAGAGTTGTGTAGGTCCTTGTCTAGATGTTCCATAGCAGCAGTATGACCTTTCTCACTTCTACACTGTTTCTTGTGCAGTTCCTCTGCAATTGAGAAAGCATTTAGAGGTGTGTATCTCTTTTCATGTTTTCTGTCCACGTTCCTATATGTTAAGGTTTTGAAGAGCTGGAGCTGTGTACTAGAAGATCATACTCTGTTGCTGCAACTAAGCTGCTGCCGGGCTTGAGCTAAAAAGAAAAAAAAAGGCAGCGTGACTCTAGGCTTTGGCTTCATAGTCCTTGGCACAACTGCCCTGTATATGAGAAAGAAAATGTCTTGTTAGTGTTTTTTGAGCTGAAGGACATGACAAAAGCTTTCCCTCTTTAATAATGATTAGTAATCTGGGGTTTTTTCCTGCTGAGGTTGATACTTTTATATTAACTGGCTTGGCTTTTTGAAACCCTAAGGAAACCAAGTGCTGTGCTG